AGCTCAGCCCACCAGGGGGCGGGGCTGGCTGGCATGTGGTGCTGGGGGATTGAACCGCGGTCCCTGTGCTTTGTTAGGCTTGTTCTAAGTAGGTGCTTTAGACCACTGAGCCATCTCACCAGCCCAGCCTTTATATTTTAAAGTATATATTATTTTGCTGTTCCAAAATCTATTTCTTCTTCGCATTATAGCTAAAATATCTTGTTTTTCTTATAGATCCATCATGATATCTAGGATTTTCAGGCCGGATGTGGTGCCCTGAATTCCAGCTTTTAGGAGGCTGAGACAGGAGGATTGCCACAAGTTCAAGTCCAGCCTGAACTACAGAGTGAGACCCCCCCGTGTCTAAATAAATAGATAAATAATCCAGGATTTTCATTATAGGACAGTAACAAAAGGTCTAGTCAAGATATGTAAAGTGACCCCGGGGGTGTGCTGAGATGGAGAATGAGACTGGGGGTGGTGGAGCACGCCTGTAATCCCAGCGCTTGGGAGGCTGAAAACAGGAGGATCGCTATGAATCTGATCTGTGTAGCAGGACCCTGTAGACCCTGTACTAAATACATTAAAAGAGAGAAGAAAAAAAAAGATAGTGATGTTGCCACAATTAAATTAAGAGCCATTAACATAACTGTAAAGGGTTAATAGAGTTTTGTGCCTTAATTGTGGAAAATTATAAAAACCCCTTGTGCTTCCTGTTATCTGCTCTAAGAAATGTGTTCTCCCTTTCGGCTCAAGGCTGTTCAACAATAAATAACTGTTTCTTGTCAGGGCAGCAAGCTAACACAAACTCCCTCCCCAACCTTCTCGTGTAACGTAGTCAGCTTAAGATGTATCTTGTAAAAATATACGCTTATCACTAAGCTGTGAAAGACCGTTTAGTTATGAACAGTCTGCAGCTGCGTCAAGTGAATGCAGTTTCTGTTGTTCTGTGCTAGATAACAAGTTTGCTTACCAAGCTGGATGTGATTTCTGTTATAAATCCCCCCTGCTACCTACGATCGGGGCCGATCAGCCTTCTCCTGCGAGAGAAGTGGCTGCGGACCTGAGCTCAGTAAATAAAGGCTCTATTCAGATTTCTCTCTGGCTGATCTGGTTCCCACGCAGAGTGACCCATAACAATAAAACACTCTTGAGATTTCCCCTTTGTTTTTCAGGCTACTGCCGATCACACGACCACGCTGTACAAAAATCTCATTGCCATTTTCAAAGAACATCAGCCTTTTTAGGCACCTGAGCTGTTTCTTAGGTTTACCGAGGATGCAGATAGTAACACAGAAGGTGTGTGTGGCCCTTGGGAATTCAAACTGTCCCAATAGGTCATCTGCTTTGATGTTTACAAGAGTATTACAGGGGCGATCGAAACGTCTTCTGACGATTCTTCTACTGACAGTGGATTACAGTAACAACGAAAACAACAGGGGCTGGTGAGATGGCTCAGTGGTCTAAAGCACCTACTTAGAACAAGCTTAGCAAAGCACAGGGACCGCAGTTCAATCCCCAGCACCACATGCCAGCCAGCCCCGCCCCCTGGTGGGCTGAGCTGGCCACACACACACACACACACACACACATAAATAAAATTTTAAAAGAAAGAAAACAACAACAAAAACCCCGCATTGTTTGTTAATTACTGATACACCGAAATCACACAAGCCACCAAGATTCTCAAAGATAAAGTTAGAACTTTTTTCATCAGGGTTTATTTCAACCTCCTCTGGAAAAATAAGAAAACCAAGTAGCTAAGAGACTGCCCAGGGTTCTAAGACATCATCTTTCGAAGCAAGAGCGCGAGAATACACAGCACGTCCTGTCACGCTCGCTTTGCTGCGAAGCGGCGACGAAAAGCCAAGGTGAGTCGTGGCGGCGCGCTCCGCCTCCCGCCTCCCGCCTCCCGCCCCGCCCCCGGGGCTGCCCGCGGCGGTGCCTGTCCGGCGGCCCGTGCAGGGGTCCTCGCGGGGTCCTTCCTGCGGGCTCCCGACGCACTGCCTGAGTGAGCGCGCGGGCGGCTTCCGGTGTGAGTGACGAGTGGTGGCCGAAGTAGAGGGACAGCAGGGGACGTTCAGGCAGGGACGATGGCGGACGGCGGTTCGGAGCGGGCTGATGGGCGCATCGTGAAGATGGAGGTGGACTACAGCGCCACGGTGGACCAGCGTCTGCCCGAGTGCGAGAAGCTGGCCAAGGTGAGGGGAGGCCGGCCGGCTGCCGGCGGGCGCCAGGGGCTGAGTCACGGCGCCGAGCTGCTTAGGCCTCGGGGGGCCTGCGTGCCGGAGCGCGCCACCCACCGCCCGTCCAGCCTCGGATGCCTGAGGGGGGACCCGGAACGGGCCCGGCCGGCGGCACTGCGCAGGCCGAATTCCTGGTGCTCACCACTCTCCCAGCCCCTCTCCGAGACCGTCACTTCTTCCCCGTGGAGGTTGGGTCCCCTTTTTATTCTTTTGGATGCCGTGGAACATTTAGCGTAGTCCTTTCCTAGAGGCTAAGGCCAGATCCGAGAGTTTGGTTCTGTCGTTACATCGATTATGAATCATGGCTGCGCGCTTGATCTTTGGCTCGGAGAAGACCCAGGAAAGTGGCGGTTCAAAGAGAGAGGTTACGCGGGAGCCCAGCCCCGAAGGGACTTGTACGGAACGATGTAGTCAAGCCGTGCGGGGTGGTAAGCCCTGCAAGCGTGAAGTGTTACTGGAACCCCGACAGACGCTGTCCATTCTTCCTGCAGACAAGCTGACGTTTGTGTTGGGTTCTTATTAATAAGACGTAGTGAGACTGGCATAGGAAAGAATTATTCCTAAAGGGAGATGTACGGGAGGAAGGACGAACAAGGCACTAACCTAGAGAATAACCTAGTTAACAGAGGTAATACACAGTAAGTGCTCCGTTGTTTGACCATCACCGGGTAGCATGTGGGTTATTTGGGGCGCTGGCATCAGAACCCAGGCCCTGGTGTGTGCCAGGCAAATGCTTTACTGTTGAGCTACATCCTTAATGCTTCTAAGATGCAGTAGAAACTTAATTTGGCGCACACATTTTGACACCACCTGTTATGTGTCAGATAACTGTATCATTTTACAAAGAAAGTAACCAAGACTCCAGAATTGTTTGCACAGGGTTACAGTTACTGATAGCTAGAATACAGGATTGAAAGCTTGATTCGCCTCATTAGGGTATGGGGTCGGGGGTAAAGCAATTCTGTTATGGGCTGTTGCTACAGGGAGGATTACACCCAGGCCTCATTAAATTCCTAGACCAATTAAGCCACAGACTTGTGTTACTATACATTTGTTATGCATTTACTGAAAGTATTTTTCTTCCTTGGGGATCTTACTACTGTGTAGTAAATTAACACGAGCACCAAGTCATGTATCACACTTTGCGATTTCATTCTGTTGCATCTGTGATTGGTATGCTAGGGTTTAGTGGAATAAGCGCTTCTCTAGCAAGCACAAGGGCCTGAGTTCAATCCCTGGTACCACACACACACACATAGCAACATTGATTTAAAGGGGCTTTTCTGAATGTACACATAATGTACTTAGCAGTCCTTAGCGCATAGAAGGTTTTCTGAAAATCCAGCCCTGCTTTTTGTGCTGAGCCACATCAGGAGCCCTGTTTTCACTTTCAGGTTATGGTGTATTTGGCAGGTGGTTATCTGATTCTTTTTTTGTTTGTTTTTGGTGTGTGTGTGTGTGTGTGTGTGTGTGTGTTTGGGTATGTGTTCTCCATACTGGGAATTGAACCCAGGGCCTTCCTACTGAACTATGTGCCCCACTTATTTTTACATTTTGAGATGGGGTTCTTCTAAGTTGCTAAATTTCCCATCCTCCTGCCTCAACAGCCCTGGGTTGAATCCAGGGGTTATGACACTGTGCTACCAGATCTGGTTTCTATTTATATTCTTAAATTGAATACTTTTTTTTTACTCTCCTTTCCCTTAATGTCTTCCCTAAACCCTATCCCCACCTTTTTGCAACACTAGGGACCGAGCTTTTTGCATGCCTAGAGGTGCTCAACCATGAAGTACATCCCCAGATCTTTTTAAAGTTTTATTTTGAGACAGACTTGCTAAATTACTCAGGTTGGCCTTGAGCTTATTGTGGTCCTCTTGCCTCGGCCTCTGATGTAGCTAGGACTATAGAAATGTTTCACCACTCCAGGCTGTTATCACATCTTCCATCACCTACAGTTTCTTCTCAGGGTTGACACTAACGATAAAGAGGAGATAAAATGTAAAACAGTTTATTTATTATTAGCAGGTTGAATAGAAGATCATTTTAAAAAATAGCTTGTATAGAAGTGTTGGATTGGGTGTAAATTTCAACTATTTATGGATAACTTTTTATTAACCTTTTTCTTTTTTCTGTTGTTTAACAAATTAACAGACTGGATCTATTTAGGACTTAAAGGAGGCAAGCAGACTTATAAATACCAAACATCTATTGAAGTGGGGCAAGCCCAAGTCACTTACCTCATTTACAAAGATTATTTTTTAATGAGAACAGTGAGTTACAGGGTTCACCAGTTCCAACAAATTTGTTTTGGATTGCTGCCACCATCTTGTTCCCTCTGTGTTGAAAGGTAGCATCCAAGAGGTGAAACTGCAGGAATGGTGAGTAGACAGGAAGGAGGAAGGTGTGTAGACATGGTATCTAGCATGGAAGAGGAGAAGTGGGATGATTCGAAAATAGGGAATCACAATGAAGTTGATAGTAGTATCCCTCAAGTAGCACTAAACTGACAGCCATATAGTTTTTTCACATCCTTTTTGTGGCAGTCATAATAAAGAATTACAAGCCATTCAGTGTCCATCCATTCTATGCATATGTGTACTATGTACAAGTTGGTATAAGAGAAGCAGTCATTAAAGGTCCAGCCCTAAAGGAATTTACAGACCACTTGGTAAGATACGTTGGACCAGAACATCTCCAGAAGCAGCGTTCGTGCTGCTTGGTGTGATGCAGCAGCTTGCTGACCTAGTGGTAAGTAGTACAGATACACACAGACCTTTTTCTGAAAGTTTATACACCCTGGTGAGGTAACACAGAATATAGTTTGCAGAAACTGCAGGGCACAGTGTCAGTAGGGCTGAGTGTGCCAGCAGGTGCTAAGTGACTGCTGATTGTAGAGCCTTGGCCAAGAACACAGCTCATGGGTCTCCAGTAGTACACTCCCTCCCATCTCGGGATGTGCCTCTGCAGTACTCAGGCTTCTGGACTCACATATCATATAGTAAACTGCACTTACGGGGTCATGGTCACTAATGTGACAGATGTCTATCCTTGTAAGCAAACTGTTTTGTATTTTAACATTTTGCACTTTTTCAAAACATAAGTGCTCTCTTTGAAGATGACCGAGATGAAGCAAAAGGCGTGGTATGCCCTAAACTGCAGCATAGTAGAGACACGTGAGACCCCAGAGAGCCCTGAAGTCCAGTTCTGATGATGACTTTTGTTAGTGAGCAGGTGTCTTGAACTGTTGGATCCCCGGTCTTTTTAAGTTCTCAGATAAGGTGGTGGAATTAAGTAATCTCTGCTAGTTTTTTCTAGTCCTAATGTTTTTTGATCTTTTATGATTTATTACTCTTCAGCTTTGGAAGATATATAGATTTGCTCATTGTTTCTTGTGTTGAATGTTTAGCCAGAATTTATTATATACTTAAGTCAATAGACCTTTCAGAACTGGTACAAGTTCAGACAGTGATTACATAATACACATTCAAAGCTGCATAGTAATAACAGTTTAGGGTGGGGATGGTGAACCCACAGCATACATGCCCCAGCAGCCAGTCTGTCTCATGGAAAGCTCTGGGTAATAGGCACATGTAAGGTCAACAACACCACAAAACAGAGAAAGAAAAGACAAAAATTACCTTGGAGGACCTAGGATATAGCTCAGTGGAATAAGTGCCTGTCTGGCAAGCTCAAGGTCCTGAGTTAGTTCCCCAGTACAAAAAAAATCGCTGTAAAAATTACCTTGGAGCCAGGTTTGGCGATGCATGCCCATAATCCCAGCACTGGGAAAGCTGAGCCAAGAGGATTGCTTTGAGTTTGAAGCCAGCTTGGGCTACATAGTGAATTCAAGGCCAGCCTGAACTACAAAGTGAGACCTTGTCTCAAAAAACAAAACAAGGCACACTGAGCCAGCCACCTGGGCATGGCAGTGCACGCCTGGTGGCCACACCTGTAATCTCAGCGCTGGGGAGGCTGGAAGCAGCACGATCACTACAAGGCTGAGCTGCATGGTGAGACCCTGTACCAAATACATAAAAAACAAAATTAAAAAAAGAATTGTTATGGTGACTTACAAAGAACAATTTCCCATGTTTTCTTCAGGGTTGTTTTGAGAGCCAGTTAGTCTCTATGCCGAACTACATAAGCACTCTGGTTTGAAAAACTGGAATCCAGAACAAAACCTAGTATTTTTTCCCAGTGAGACAGCATATTGTTACATGTTCCACTTTTCTTAGTGTTTTCATGTGAGAGGGAAGAAGTTTGTGGGTCCCAAAAGGGAACCACTTACTCCAAGCAGCCGTCAGAGAAGCCAACGTTATCTTGAGTTGGAAACAAAAACCAGTGGTTATGGCTAGTCTTTTCCCCTAGAATAGACCACTGATTTTGCCTTTTCTGTGTCAGAAACGTCTGTTAGGTCAGCGATTTTGGTTTCTGTTGGTGGTGGTATTTTTTCATTGTTTCTTTTTATCTTTTGCTTTAGGAAGGAAGACTTCAAGAAGTCATTGAAACCCTTCTCTCTTTAGAAAAACAGACCCGTACTGTGAGTAGATTACAGCCTAACACAGTTATCATTAGTTTTCTTGGAAGTATTTTTATTTGACTGACTTTTAGCTATGTTTTTATTCTTACAGGCTTCAGATATGGTGTCTACGTCCCGGATATTAGTTGCAGTAGTGAAGATGTGCTATGAGGCTAAAGAATGGGATTTACTTAACGAAAATATTATGCTTTTGTCAAAAAGGAGGAGTCAGTTAAAACAAGTGAGTTCATGGTTGCTCAAAAGGCTAATATATTTGCATTTAAATAAGGACTTTCAGAAAACTGTTATGAACCTGTTGAAAATTTATTATTATATCAACATAAAATTCCAGGGCCGGGGAGATGGCTCAGTGGAATAAGCGCTTCCCTGGCAAGCTCAAGGGCCTGAGTTCAATCCCCAGTTCTGCAAAAAAAAAAAAAAAAAAAAAAAATCCTTCCCCCCTTTAAAAAAAAATTTTTCCCTTTTTTTCATGAAAAAAAAATTTTTTTTTTTTTTTTTTTTTTTTTTTTTTTTTTTTTTTTTTTGTATTGGGAATTGAGCTCAGTACCTTGCACTGGCCAGGCAGGCACTTGTGCCACTGAGCTATATTCCTGGCCCTGAATACGACTGTTTTCGTTAATACTTTTGCATATTTTTATAATATGGCACTGAGAGTGTTCATGTAGCTTTGTTCTATTTCCCTATTTTTGTTAGCTTTGTTTTTAAAATTTCAAATGATAGTGTTGTAACCTATTAAGTTTACTACTCAAATAATCTTATTTACTACTGTAACTTATTTGAAGCCATGTAGAGATAAGATTACTTTCATAAGTTCTTTCAGCAGTTTTGTCAGGTGGGATTTTTAAAAATTTTTGGGGGGTTGGGGAGATGGCTTAGTGGAATAAGCGCTTCCCTGGCATGTGCATGGGTCTGAGTTCAATCCCCAGTTCTGCCAAAAAAAAAAAAA